GACTTCCCGAGGGCGAGGAAGAGGTTGGAGCAGAAGCTTGTGTCCATCGAAAGGACTAAGGGCTCAGAGATCTTGTTTGGAGTCGCGCCGTGTTCCCTGGCCCTCTCTCAGTCGCGGAGGGACCTGTTCAGGCTGTTCCTCAAGCAGGGCGGCGGCTCCCGGCAGCTTCTCATGAGTGAGTTCGTCCTTCAGGCCATGGCCCGGGGAGTCCCTGTGCACCACGTCCACAAGAGAGAGCTGGACGCTCTTTGCAGAGGTCGGGTCCACCAGGGAGTTTGTTTGGAGGCCACTCCGCTCCGTTTCAAGAGTTTGGAGGAAGATGCAAAGCCCGATTCGGGGGATGAAGAGAGTCCAAACCAGCAGCTGATTTGGCTGGCGCTGGAGCACATCCAGGACCCCATGAACCTGGGGGCAGTGCTGCGCTCTGCGTACTTCCTGGGGGTGGACAGAGTGGTGACAAGCCAGAGGGACAGGTATGGAGCCAGTTATCTCATCCTTCAGCTTCTCTCTTTTCCTGATGCCTCCCAAAGAGGTTTCTAGCCTGCACTGCTCAACAGCTCCTTCAGAGGGGTTTCCGGGGCTGAGCCTGGGAGTTGGATTTGGGTGGGTGCTGCCTTGTGGTCGCTTGGCAGGGAGCCTGTGGGGCCTCGTGTCCCAAGCTGGCAAGAACCTCCCCTTTTTGGCTTGACCTCTTGTGTTGCAGCTGTCTAGGTGTGCACAAAACTGCTGCAACTCATTGCCTGGGTTAATTCTTGAGCCCCCCTGTTCTCTGTAGGAAAATATATCCGTGTAGCAAGTGAGTCCTTTAGTGGATGGGTCAGAATTGGGTTGCAGAGGCAAGAGAAGGAAATAGAGAAGCAAAAAATTCTGGATTTCAATTTTTGTTTTCATATGACACTATTCCTTTCCTTTTTCCTTTCCTTTTTCCTTTCCTTTTTCCTTTCCTTTTTCCTTTCCTTTTTCCTTTCCTTTTTCCTTTCCTTTTTCCTTTCCTTTTCTTCCTTTCTTTTTTTCCTTCCTTTCTTTTTTTCCTTCCTTTCTTTTTTTCCTTCCTTTCTTTTTTTCCTTCCTTTCTTTTTTTCCTTCCTTTCTTTTTTTCCTTCCTTTCTTTTTTTCCTTCCTTTCTTTTTTTCCTTCCTTTCTTTTTTTCCTTCCTTTCTTTTTTTCCTTCCTTTCTTTTCTTTTTTCCCTTGCAGCTGCCCCTTGACTCCAATAGTGAGCAAAGCCAGCTCTGGGGCTGTGGAACTCTTTGATGTCTACAGCACAGATGATCTCCAGAGTCTTTTAAAGGTAGGACGATCTGCTTTTTCCTGTCCCCTTTCCTTCCAGGAGACCTCTGTGGGACAGAGGGGAGGTGCAGGACACCTCTGATGGTGCCCTGCGCTGCTGCTCGCTCGCTCCGCCTCTGCCGGGGGCACCCCGAGCCCCATGGGCGCGGGGGGACGGGGCTGAGCGTTGGGGGTTTTTCGGGAAGGTGGCGGCCGTGGGGTGAGTGCCGAGCTGCGCCCCCCGCCCTGTCCGGGCTGTCCCGGGGCGCGGGCACACGATGGCAGCATTGGGCAGCC